CGTTCACCATCTTGTTCACGATCTGCCACACCACGACCTAACATCATCGACGAGAACACGTCTGATGAAGACGAGACTCACTTCACACTGAAAAAGTCCATCAATCCATCAAAATTCACCCACCTTCTCCAATTACGCCCTAAACTCACCACAACAAATTATGCAACATAGACAAGCACCATCTATCGTGCACTCGAGACCATCAGGCTACACATTTACGTAGACCCAGACTTTGTGCAGCCATTGCACAGTTTGCTCAACGAAAGACATCACCCTGTCCGTTGGAACAAAGCGAACATGTTTGTTTGCTCGGTACTTACCTCGTGCATGACAGAGGATGTCATGTCTCAGTTGGCCCACCTACAATGTGCCTCTGATATATGGGCAGATGCGAGATGACTATACTCAGGCACCATGGCCACAGACTGGACCCTCGTGATAACCTCACTCGTCACAACACGCTATAATGACGGCGAAGATATCAATGCCCATATAGCAAAGATGAAAGGGTACCGTCAGGACTTTATCCTGATGCGACGTGATATTGAAGATGAACTATTTGCATGCTTCTTATGCATATCCATGCCAGCAGCTTGGAATTATGTGTTCGCAGCTCTCCCTGACCATTACAAATCAGTTGAAGTTGAACGACGGGTCAGAGATGAGTTTGGTGTCCACACAAGCCAATCTGGCACCTCCAGCACCTCATATCAAGTAACATGAGGAGGTAAAAGCCGAAGCGGACACAGCCGCACACCCATACCAGGCCAACCTTACTGCGAGAACTGCCATATTTCTGGTCATTTGACCAAGGATTGCTATTCGAAGAGTGGCGAGAAACAGGGTCAAGGCCCTCGCCAAGATAACAAGAAGTCAAAGAGAGCTGACAAGGGGGATGCAAGGACGAGAAATCCCGCAAGGGGAAACAGAAGTTTAAGCTGAAAAAGGCCAATCAAGCTGTCGTGGATGAAGACAACTCTAGCGACGCTGATGAAGACCAATCAGACACCGAACACTCGTCCTACATCACCAGTACTTCCTCCTGCTCTCGCTTTGGCTGGATACTTGACGGCGGATCAACCACCCACATATGCACTGAACAAGCAGTCTTTGCAACCTTCACCCCATCAGAGGAGCACATCCAAGGGATTGTGAAAGACAGACCGGTACTCCAAGTACTTGGTCACGGATCAGTACTAGTAAATGTCTCTGTGAAGGGATGTCCTGACCATATTGTCAAATTGACAAATGTCCATTACTGCCCCAATGCTCATGACAACCTGATGTTGGAAAGCCATATGGACCGAAAGGGGATGGAGATCACAAAGCGAAACAGACGGCTCACCATTAAGAAACCCAATGGTGAGACTGTAATGGAAGGGAAATTGACCAACAATCTATACGAGATCAACAGTGTCATTGCACCACCAAACACAAGTTCGTCTCATCTCGTGATGTCATAGTCTATGAGAAAACCTTCAGCCAGCCCGACAACAAACCGTCCCTACTCCTGAGATCTCCGCTCCGAGTAAGGGGGTGCCAAAACCAACCATGATTGTTGACCCTCCCGCTCAGATCGAGGGGGTGACAGACGGAGATTCTAATCCAACCATGATCGAGGCACCAGCACCTGCCGAAGAACCCCCAGCACCTACACCAATAGAAACCATCATTCCCACTGCAAATCCACCTCCCAAACTGACACTAGTTCAACCCCAACGCTCAGAACGAACTACATGCCTGTCATGGAAAAAGCAAGCTGCAGATGTCCAGAAGGCCAAATCCAAGAAGGACAAAGCTGATCGCAAGGCATGCCACAAGGACCAAACTCAACGCCAACGTAAAACAAACACGGACACTTTGCCACTCGAAAATACCACTGTTGGCGAAGTCGCCCAGCTCGCATACCTTGCAGCATATGGCCAGCGAATCCCACAGCACTTCCGAGCTGCCAATGTTAGCAATGAAGCAGACCAGTGGTGGAAGGCGATGCATGAGCAGATCGAGATGCTGCAGAGGAGAGGGACATGGGAGTTAGTCAAGAAGCCGAAGGATCACAAAGTCATAGGATGTCGATGGACATATACCCTCAAACTCAGCCCCGATGGAGAAATCACACGATACAAGGCACGGCTTGTCGCGCAAGGATACTCGCAGATCCCAGGTGTCGACTACAGTGACACATTTTCACCAACTGTCCGACTCGACTCACTTCATACAATATTGCACTTCGCAGCTTCACACGGCTGGTACCGCGGACAAGATGATGTCACCAGGGCATTTCTCCACAGCAAGATCAACCACAAAATCTATATGCGGCAACCTGAAGGCTTCAGCAACGGTACTAGCAGAGTCGCGAAACTCCTACTTAGCCTTTATGGAATCAAACAAGGCTCGCACCTGTGGAATAAGCATATGCACCAAGGATTAGTTTCCTGCGATTTCGTCCATTGTGCCTCCGACCATGCAGTATACACCCGCCATACAAAGATGGGTAGATCAATCGTTGCATGGCATGTAGACAATGCCATCACTGTCTCCAACAGTCCCAAAACACTTGCAGAGACCTGCACCAAGCTACACAAGCTATTTGAGATGAAGGAAGAAGACCCAGACTGGCTGATGGGATTCACGCTCACCAATGATCGCAAAAACCATTCTGTTACCATCTCACAGGCCCAGTATGTTGACACGATCCTCAAACATTTTAGGATGGACAGGTGCAATCCCGTACAGATGCCAATCGATCCAAACACCGTCCTATCAAAAACAGAGGGCCCTAAAACGGACGAAGAAGTCGCAGAAATGAAGACCTTACCATATCGCAAACTCATCGGAGCAATCACTTGGATTGCCATGGTCTCGCGCCCTGACCTTGCATTTGCAAGCAGTCACCTTGGGAAGTTCAGTGCAAATCCAGGCAAGGCACATTGGAGGGCAGCAATACAAGTTTTGCACTACCTCGCTGGTACATGCGACTTTCGGCTAGTACTAGGCGAAAATGGCAAGGATGCAGACATACTCACTGGATACAGTGACTCGGATTGGGCACGCGACATTGATGACCGCCGGTCGATGTCAGGGTATGTCTTCACACTCAGCAACCGCATAATCTTGTGGAATAGCAAGAAACAAGCAACCGTAGCCGCCTCGTCAACTGAGGGAGAGTACATGGCTCTCTCACATGCATCCAAACAGGCAATATGGATAGGTTACCTGTTGAGGGACATTGGAGTGTATGACAAAGACCCCAGCACGGAGATATTCGTCGACAACACAGGATGCATTAGTCTCACAAAGGAAGCCCGTTTCCACGCACGTACGAAACACATTGACGTCCATTACCATTTCATCCGCGAATGCGTCGAAGACGGGACACTGGAGCTCACCCACATCCCATCAGCCGAAATGCTCGCCAACGGACTCATGAAACCACTTCCGTGTCTCAACTTTCAGAGGATGATAGAGGAACTAGCTCTGTTGCCAGACTGAGGGTGTGTGTTGGAAATCAGCCAATGTCAACATAGTAGTACAGATTGGATTTCTTTTGTTTGAACCAGACACTACCTTCTACGCAGTTACCATATTAGGAAACTCCGCACACGATACATTTGTTACTTGTTTTTCTCTCTTTTCCCCAGTCTCTTTTACTGTCGACTGGGGTAAGTCATAGTCTAGCTATATACACATTCCTTACTGATGTACCCCAGGACTTACCAAGTCCTGTCTATCTAGACATTTACCGTCTTTTATCGGGGAGTTCACAGTCCAGTCTATCAAAGCAGCCAAGGAAGGTAGCCAATTTGTCACACGAGCAGACCTAACTTTGGAATGCCAAGACCATCACGTCTTACAAGTTTCCAAGATACGCATACCATGCACCAAAGTTTCGCAGACTGGAGAGGATGTCTACTGGGCAGAGCCATCAGACGCGACAGACCCCAAAGGCGCACTCCTGCATCACTTTACCATTAATAACCACATTTGTTCGCATGGAAACATGCCACAGGCATGCGCCCCTTAACTTGGGCGGCTTTCTTGCAGAGGATCGGAAATATAGCCAAACAAGGTCACTGTCCAGACTTGAAGGGTCATGGTATCTGCATCGGAGGAACACTTGAGTACTTACTGCGCGGAGTCCCGTTTGACATGGTCAAATCAATGGGAAGATGGTCGAGTGAAGCATTCACCATCTATCTATGCAACCATGCAGTCATAGTAATGGCACCATACCTACAAGACACACCAATCATTGAACCCTTCACTCATTATACCATGGCACGGTTGTGCTAATTTGAGGTGTGTCTCGCCCGCTCCTTATAACGGGGAGTCCAAGCTTCGCCTGACGCGTCGCTGGGCTCCTTAAAATTTGGGAATCACGGCTCATCTTGACCTCTTAGGTTCGGAGTGTTGTTTCTGGCTGAAAACCCCTTCGGGGCTTTGACCAAATACTTACATACCTTTCGCATCTTGTCGCTATCAAGTCTCAGTATTCGTCTAGGACAATACACTTGTTTCTTCTCTGACCGCAAAAGATAGATAATCACATAGATGAGTTCCCATAATCAGCATAAATACTGTCTGTGATAATGAAGCGTGAGCTTTCATTATCACTGCCTTTTGGCGTAATGGTTAAGGGACGACAGTCTTGACTACTTACAACGTGTTCGCCTCATCACAGTTTAGTCTGTCCGTGAATACATCCCACACAACCAGAGAGTACAAGAACATAATTAATTCTTGACAGTTACAGTTGCTTTCAATGTTTATTAAAAATGGGAACTTATCAGTCCCGCTCTCCACCACAACTCTCCAATGGACACCTTCGAACAACTTATTATTGCACTTGAAGACAGACTCAACAAGACTCATAGCCAGTCTTTCTGTATCAATTGAGTTACTAACATCCCGATCTGATGTTTTGTATTCAGTAACTGCCAGTGCATCCAGTAAGCAACATCGACAGTTCAAGTCCCTGCCACTCAATGAGTTCCACCGTGATGCCAATGCATACAAACATACCCATCAAAGGCCTCATCAATAAGGATATTAATATCCTCGTGGATTCCATCACTCCCTCCCACAATCATAGTTTTTTTGCTGACACTGACAGGCACCCTCCCCCTGTCCTACTATCACACCCTTGCTCCCCAAGCACCATTCTGAGCGCCCCTGTGGACTCTTTAGCACCCGTTCACCGCCTCTGACTCAGCAACACACTTCCGCACCACCGCCCGAGTTTCCCCACCCTGGCCTTGACCCTCAGCCAACATCATACAGAATGCATACCCCCAAGTCCCAAAGACAGCACCAGACCCCTCCTACGCAGTTCCTGCCCCCTCCACCTCAATCACAGCCACGATTCAGGACAGCCTCGCAGCCACAACCACCGCCTCAATCAGCACCTCCCTCCATTCCACACCCATCTCCAGCATATACCACTTGCCCGCCTTCAGGTCCATTAACTTCACCCCTCTTGCCACCTCAGCCCTCCACACCTCAACCCCTGCCCCCCTCCTTGCAATGTCCCTCTTGCATTTACTAATTCACACACTGAAGCAAAACCGACATACTTGAGAAAGGAGAACTCATGGCACACATTAGTACTTGGCTGGAGGAGGAGAGAGCAGCATCATATGAAAGAGATAGGATAGAGGGGGGGCAAGAAGAATGGAAATGGCAGGATAGAGAGAGGGAGGCGGGAAGGTTAGCCATGGAGGCCGAGCAAGAAGACACCCACATGCATCATGATGCATGTGCATGGCCCAGAAAACCCTGCCCAGAAGGTTGAGATGCATGACGAGTCTTGTCAATATATTTCGCCATCTTCGTCATCACCTCAGCCCCATTCTTCTCCCAAAATGACATTCATGGAGTGTTTGGGTCTATGTGTGATATGCCAGGATCTGGAGGCAAATATCATGATCGTAGGTTGCGGGCGAGTATTGATTTTCTTGATCTCGCAGACAGACTGATATCCCATCCGACCTATCTGAGAGACTCTTTGTTTTGGAGTGGCCCTGCAGTTCTTAACATCAACTTGTGCTGCCTTCCACTATCGACATTACCTGTCGGAACCAGCAAGCGTGGCCACAACAATCTTACTGTTCTCCGACGTTAACACGCACAAGTTTCTTGTACTTGACATGTGTAAGCACACCCTCAACCATGAACGACATGAACGCTATTCGACAAGATAGAAGAAAATGAAAATGACACCTGAGACGCAGCCAAATAAGAGTCCGCTGTGGGTACAACAAGTGCAGTGGAGAGAAGTCAATCTACAACACAGTTGGGTCTTTGCTGCCTGCTGCCTCACTTGGAAACAAGCACGTTCGACCCTTAAGGGGATTGCTACTGGGGAAACACTAGTCTCTGTCTAAAGCGACCCTATAGGATGAAGGATCCGCAAAAGCGGATGAAACGGATAGGATGCGAAACGTACAGATTCATCGGATGGAGCGGATGATACTTGCAGATCGGACAGGATGTGAATCAAAGTCAAAGGAAGTTCATTAAAGGTTGGATGGATAGTGGGTATAAGTCAAAGCAACCTTCTGGTAAGGTGCAGGAAAAGTGGGAGGAAATTACATGAAGTAAGTATTTTTCGAAACCCTCCATGCTTATAGGGTACAGTATTTTCAAGGAACATAGATATATAGGTAGCGAGTCTAGACCGTGCCATAAGCTATCTGAAAAATACTGGAGTGTGAGAGGATATGTCTGTGTTCAGTCAGTAACAAGAAAATGCGTGTGAGTACATACCAATGAGGTAGAATGGACGTGGACAGGACAGATGCGGCGGATGTGTGAGCTATAGGGGGAGATCTGAAGGTATCCGCATGTCATCCAAAAAGCGGATGTGTATCAGATGGAATGGATAGGTGTCGGATGGATGCCTGATGCATCGGAAAAGTGGTGGATACGAGCCTAGTGTAGGGATACTCCCTACACCGCGACAGATGCTGCTCAAATTGGGGGACATACTTGAAATCAATACATTCATAAATATGTCTCAGGATATGCATCACATCTACCCATAGAACTTTTCTGACCGTGTCTCAGGTGTGAGTGATCTTCAAACCTGCAATTACAACATTATTCTCATGTGCGTCCTGTGCAGGCTTGGCAACTCTGCTCAATTATGTGTGCCGGTGAGCCCCACACACACCCCTGGATATTAATCATGTAAGTAATTCGATATTTCAATCCAGATGAGCTCATAGGGCCCTAGTATCTCAACACCATCTGTAACACCGCAGATAGTACTTAGAGGCCTGATTGGCAAATGAGGTTCCTGACGCGGACTCAGCAATCTGATTATTTTGCCGTCCTGCAATGTTGTACTTCTGGTTTGTAAGAACATCCTCGGTCTCGATTCATTGTCAGTGAGATAGGAGGGAACAAGAGTGAGTTGGTCTTCGAACCTGAAATTGTAACATTGTTCATACGTGCATCTTATGCAGACTTGGCAGAATTCTGCTGTCCTGAGCACCCCTGAATTATGTAAATCATACAATCCAGGTGAGCTTAGTGAAAGTCTAACTCATCACCTCGTGATCAGCCATTGTAACCAAGTTGGTAAATTAGAACATCACCACTGACACTTCCATTCCAAAGAAGTTGCATACATCCCTCGTGTTTGCCTGTGAGGCAAGAGGCATTGTATGGATCAGTGATGTCTCGGCAGTGACTATACTATGGCACTTCCATTGCAAAAGGGGTCACAAAAATACCTTGATTATTCCTTGATTTCGGTGACTTGTAAGGAATGTTTCTCTATGCGGTACAAGAGGAAGAAAATGCTAAAGACCAGTTGTTTTTTTTCTCGGCGGCGACTACCAATAGGGTCTGTTACGCTGGCACTTCCATTGCAAATGAAATCTAGACGATGTGGCATAAGAGCATTTTGATAAAGGTCAGTCTTTTCTATGGCAGCAACTACTGCACACTAGCACTTCCATTGCAAGAAATATTTCGTTTGTGAGGAATAATTCCACACAAGAGGATTTGTTCTGTCAGTCAGCTCAACATGTTCCAGTTGAAATCTACCAACTCATCTCAGGGTTCATATCAAACCTGGCCTGGCCATCGTCTCATTCAAGACAGACTCCCTGTAGTCTCCCCTAGCCGTGCCTACGTATTTGAAGTTCAACGATCAATGTATACCTTTGTAGATGATTCCTGTAGATGATTCATTCTTACTCGATTCCCCATCTGGTTGATTTTCTGATATGTGGTGCTGATGCTGATGCTGATCTGTTCGTAATTCTATCTTCATTGAGAATGGACCTCCACTACCAGGCTAGATATGGCACTCGCATTATCTTCGCTTGTGAGACCACCTGCTGTAACAACTTACAATCTTCACTCTCAGTTTGGATCTTGTTTTTGAATTGTTGTTTATCATCTGCTGGGGCTGGGCCCTACGTATCAGTTTGGATGTAATGAAATGTTCAGGCAGGGGGTGTGATACTTCACCACAATCCATCAACTTCACCTCATCAATGCTGCTCATTTTGAGCATGCACAAACAAATACAATTGTAACCTGTATGTATTCCTGTCATGACATCTGTCCTACTGAAGTGTGGCATTGTCATCATCAACCCCATCGACAAGAAGAATGCTGATTACATATATCAATCCTCAGGCATAATCTGCAAAGGATAGTCTAGATCTGAAGCTAGTGGGTCAAATAAATTCAAGTTGAAGCTTGAACATTAACACTTACTACAAGGGGGCTGATTGACATTATATGAAAGTGTCCACTGCAGTGTCTTAATCACCGTTGAGAAATCTATAAAGACCCTCTCGTACCGCATCATAATGTAACTTCTTTTGCCATGGAAGTGCCAGGTATATGGTGGTAGTTGTCACCTGATCTCTGTAAAATCCTCTCATACCGCATGACAAACATTTCTCGTAAGCGATAATGAGGAATGCTTGTAACTCCATTCGCAAAGGAAGTGTCAAGACTCATTGCTGATCTCTATATCCTTTAGTGCTGCCAATCAACAAACATTCCTCACAAACGAACATGAGGAATGTATGTAACTTCTTTTGTAATGGAAGTGCCAGGGTGATGTGCCTACTTCGTCACGATGGCCAATCACGAGGCGATGAGTAACAGTGTGGTCCACCTGGATTGAATAAATTACAGGATTCAGGGGTGCATATGGTGCTCAGGACAGCAGAATGCTGAGCCTGCACAGGATGTACATATAAAAGATGTTGCAATCACAGGTTTGCAGACCAACTCACTCTGATTCCCTCCACTCTCACCAACAGCAAATCGAAGTAGTACTGCATCATGGCGTTCGAGAACTGTGTTATTAGAAATGTTCAGTGGCCCGACTGCGTGTTGACATTGCGGGATGGCCAAATTACTGTGGCCGCTCTGAGTCAAGGCAGGGATGGTGTTATGACCAGAGTTCACTGAATGGCAAAGTCTGACAACAACCACTAGGACTCGGTCAAGGATGATGATGAGAATGGATAGTATTGAGCGTGAACGTCTAGGCCTACTACAACAGTAGAGAATGAAGAGGTTAAGTCTAAGGAGTACTTATGCTAACTAACCTACTTATGAACATAACATTGAATAGGAGTCTAAAAGAAATCAGCCAATGAGAAAAGAGTCGTACGATACTGCGGATGACTAAGTATGACTCATGATATATAAGTGAATGAGTAAGACAGCAACTAAACAGAAACCCAAGTTCCGACCAGTTCTTCTTTAGGAAGCGAGATTGTTCTAGCCCGTGGAGTAGGGGAGCCAATTGGAGAAACCACGGGTGATATGTGAAGAGGTGAAGGTGTGACAGGGTTGGGAGTCATGTGACCGGTTTGGGTACTGGAAGTAGCCGAAGGAAAACTGAGAAATGAAAAATGGTTCGTATTTGGAATTCATGACAGATGGTCAGAAGGTAGGTAGCTATGATATTGGAAAAACATTGGAGTCGGTGCTGACAAGGGATATCAATAGTGGACCCTAGCAGTGAATAATGGACCGCTCCAGACCGTGCCCACGCCCGCACCGCCAGGCAATGATTTCCTCGAATGGGCTATTGGAGGAGTCAGTTTGTCTACAAGATAAAGTGTTCTAATTCGAATCTCACCGGTTTTCCAGATCAATCCCAGGCCGAGACTAATGATGGGTGCAGTGGGCAATGTTAATTGGAACTTTCAACCAATTCAGAACGCGTGCATATCAGGTCGTCATTCAAACCTATACCAGACTGCTGATGTGCCACGATATTATCTGATGCAGTAATAGTGTTTGTGTGCAAACCAATGTCAATGGCACGAAGTATGCCTTGCAGGCAACCCAAAGCAGCAATAGCCCTGTATGTCACATGGCATTGTTTTATTGTACCAAACTTTTACTGACACATGATGCACCTCAGCCGAGAGTTGGCGTCATGCTCTTGAAGGAACTCGCACCAGTACTCGACGAGGATACACAGTGGACAGTCGAGCCAGAGCTGCCGATTGTTGACTAAGGATGTACTTAGTAAGAGCTTTAGTGTAACGCTCGTAAAAG